CTCAAATAAAGTCAGCTCCTTTGGGGAGTGTGAAGGAGCTGTGTTTTCATATATATATATATATATATATATATATATATAATTTTTATTTAAGAACATCCTAATAGAATATGTATGTATTCTTTTTTTACATTAATTTTTGTGGGTACACTTTTGACATATGTAGTGATCACATCCATCATAGGGAACGTGTGCCTGTGAGGGACCGAGCTTTCGTGTCTCCCCTCGTGTCCTAGGCAGAAGGGCGTTGGGGACAGCAGCCTGTTTTCTCTGCAGAGGGGGGCTAAGGCCCATGATGTTCCTCTCTTTTGTCTCAGGGAAGTGAGCTGGGGCGCCAGGGCCCCAGGACCCACTGTGTGCACGCGCCTGGACAGGGCTGCATGCATGGGGCTGGGTGGAGAAGGTGACCCTGACGGCTCAGGCGCTTACTGGGACTTCCAGGGGTGACACCTTTGCAGCACCTTGCTGCTGCTTAGTTGGTGGGGCTGGCAAGGTGAGAGGCGCTGCGGATATGTCTCCCGCACAGGGGAGCCCTTGCCTGGGAGCTGTGAGCTCTGGTGTGGACCTTCTGCCACGCTGGACTAAGGAGCGAGGATGTGGCCGGAGCTCAAATGCCACCCTGCTCTCCACTTTGGCTTTCAGTAGACTTTCTTCAGCTGCTCTATGCTCTTGAGACAATTTCCAGACACTGTTCTTTCTTTAATAATCATTTTCACCACTTACCCTGGGTGTGCAGGGAGCTGGTCCTAGAGCTCCTTATGCTGCCTCGCAGGAGGTCGGGAATTCTGCTTCTGAGGGCTGGAGGGTCCTCGGGGGGCTCCCCCAGCCTCCTCCCTACACCTGTGCCCGGCAGCACCCAGCCCTCTGTGACTTGGTTGTGTGGTTTGGGAAGGAGATCAGATTTGAGAAAACCCACCCTTGCGTCCCTGAATGTCCCTCTCCTCTGTCCTGCTCCTTACCCTGAGTCCAGATGATTGATTAAGAGTGATGAGGGAGGGAGAGGGTGGAGAGCAGGAGAGAGGGAGAGAGGGAGAGAGGGAGAGAGAGGGGAGAAAGAGGGTGAGAGAGCCCTGTGAAGGCCTGCCTTCCTTCTTTCCTTCCTTTTATTTATCTTTTTGTGGTAGTAGGGATTGAATTATGAGCCTTGTGCAAACCAGACAAGGGCTCTATCACAGAGGTACATCCTCAGCTGTTTTTATTCTATTTTGAGATAGGATGCTGCTGAGTTGCCCATGCTGGCCTCATATTATAATCCTCCTGCCTCAGCCTCCTGAGTAGCTGGAATTACTGGTGTGCACCACCTCCCTTAGTATTTCCTCCATTTCTCCCCAGGGGCACTCTGGAGCTACGGATGGTCACGCGGCCCCTGTCTCCATTCCAGTCCCTGGGACCCATCCCTCTTGCCCTAGCCCACCTGGGTGCTCTTGGGAACCGTTCGCCCGGTTCCTGGCAGGGCCATGCCTTTTCCTCATTGTCTGTCAGGATTTCCTCCATCATGGCAGTGGCCTGTGTCTTACTGTAGAAACATGATCCCTATTGGGAGTGTCAGCAGGGATTTGTGGGGACTCTGGGATGGGACCCTGCCTGGGAGGGCAGCCTGGGGCGTGCATCGTGGAGTTGCTGCACCGGGCCAGGTGAGCCTGCAGGTGCCCTCGCTGTAGCTGTGTCTGTCTATGGGAAGGCAGGAGGTTCTGCATTGACTTAGTGGACATGGGATCTTTTGGGTCTTTTGCTGCCAGACAGTGCTGCAGGAATAGCCTTGTGCAGACCCTGTTCTTCGAAAGTATGAAGGTTCTGGGGCTGGTGAGATGGCTCAGTGGTCTAAAGCACCTACTTAGAACAAGCTTAGCCAAGCACAGGGACCGCGGTTCAATCCCCCAGCACCACATGCCAGCCAGCCCCGCCCCCTGGTGGGCTGAGCTGGCCACACACACACACACACACACACACACTAAATAAATAAATAAATAAATAAATAAATAAAGTATTTGTTAAAAAAAAAAAAAGAAAGAAAGAAAGTATGAAGGTTCTGCTGAGATCTATTGCTAGAGCTGAGATGTCGCCTCACAGCGTGTGCACCGTGCACTGGGGCATCAGCTCTCCCTTAGGGTTTGACTGTTGCTATCTCTCTGAGGAGGCATGATCTCTGGTGGCAGTTTTGGGAGGGGCCAGGCACTGCTAAGAGGTCTGAGGGCAGCTGAGGCTCAGGGCGGGCGGCCTCTGGGAGGCGTTCACAGGAGGAGCCTTGCCGTGGCTTCCTGAAGCGGGGCCCCTCACTCTCGCGTGCGCTTTTATCATTGTGACCCGCTCCCATGTGTCTAGCTGCGGGGCCCTTGGCAGGATGGAGCTGACGCGGGTGCCAGGCCACGGCCTGTGGGGCCCTGAGATGGCAAAGCCTCTTCCCTTTACAAACCAGCTGCAGTGGGTGTCGTGCACAGTGACGAAAAGCCCGCGAATGCGCCTACAGATTCACTCCCCCAGGACGGTGTCTGCGTGTACGGACGTGGTCAGGAGCACAGGAGCCACCACGGTGGAGTAGCCTCTCTGGTCTGACAGACACCAGCAATACTGAGATGTAAGCCCTGGTGCTGGCCTCATGGGACGTGTGTGGTCCCCTCCATACCCTTCTAGAAGAAGGGAGTGTGAGGACACAGAGCGGGCGAGCCTCTGGCAGACAGCCCGCTGGCGCCCAGTAGTGATTTGCCAGCCTGCTGAACTGCTCTTTATCAGTGACTCTAAATTTCACTGCAGCATCCAGACAGACTGAGATGGCCCTGCCACGGACTGCCGGGATGGCGGGCCACAGCAGCGAGTCCGTGGGGCAGGGCTTCAGGGGACCCGTGGATCTTCAGCGGCAGTCATCAGTTCTGAACCCCAGCCAGGCCCAGGGCCTGGAGGCAAAGCCTAGGGCTGCACCCTCCCTGGCATCTCCCAGAAGCAGCGCTGGGTAAGAAGGCTGTGCCTGCTCCCTTCCTGGGCCACAGCACAGCACGTGGGCAGCTTCTGACCTCAAGCTGCATGCAGGTGCTGTGCAGGGTCCAGGGGCCAGTTGTGGGCCCCAGCTTGCTGCTGACCCCTGACCACCACTGCAGGCTGTGCCATGTGGCACCCTTGCAATGTCCTTTCTGGCTGGCAACAGGGTGTGGGGCTAGGTTGGCAGGATGCCAGAGCCACCTCTTGGGGAGGTGTCCCAACGAGATCCCAAGCAAGGCTCTCAGGCTGCTCTGGGAGGGGGCCACAGTGACACCCACCTGGGGAGGAGCCCCTGGTGGTTGTCTTCAGGGAGCACACCTCTAGGTGAGCCAGGGACTGGCATCCTGCAGGTGTCAGAGTTAGAGCCCAGGTCTGAGGACACCAGGATGGTCCTGAGGTGCAACCTGGGCCCTGGTCCTCTGCTCCGCAGGGTGGCCCTGGGCTTCATGAGTGCTTCCTTTGCTCTTGCCCTGAGCAGATGCTGAGCCCCTAGAGCCAAGGCTTCACCTCACCACCATCCTGACATCTATTCTGCTTGGCTGCCGAGGGCCTGTGGGTGTGGATGCTGTCCAGAATCACTTTCAGAAAGCAGACTGTTGTGGTTTGTATCAGAACGTCCCTCGAGTGTTTGTAGGTAGGGCTTTGGGGAGGCGACTAGATCACAGAGGGGTGATATTCATGAGTGGATTAGTCCACTGATGGACTTAAAGCTGTCCATGATATTGGGAGGTGAAGCCCGGTCTAAAGAGGTGGTCATTGGGGAGCGGCCTGGGTCTATCGCTCTCCTCTCCCTCGATCTCGCCGCTTCCTGCTGCTCTGGCATGGCCTGTTTCCTTTCTGCCATGCTGCACTGCTGTGGGGCAGGGGTGGGAATGGCTCTGGGGTGGGGGGAGAGGGGCTAGCCTTGGGGAGACTGAAGTACCCTGCCCCTAGGGGAAGTTGCACAAGGTGAGAAGAGGACATCTTGGCAGGGCCTCCCCCTCCTGCAGCGCAGGTTCCAGGCTTCTGTCCTGGGGTGCTCAGGGTGCAGCATGGAGCCAGGAGGTCAGGCTGAGGAGAGGCAGCAGCTCCTGTTGCCCTCACTGAGGCACTGAGGTTTCCTCTGGTCAGAGCCAGGCCCTGGGCACATTCCATGGGTTCTGCACTGCTTGCCTGCAGGTGCAGAGGGTGGCTGGGAGGCAGGGGGAGGCCTGCTGATGTCCATGGCGGGCCCTTTCTGGCACTGTCCACAATGCTAGGAGCCAAGGGTGGTGAGGGCAGGGATGTGCCTCAGGGTGGCCTGAAAGGCTGCAGTTCCCTGGTGCCATCAGTTCGACCCTAGCACATGGCCTTCCATGCCTGTTGCAGGCTCTGGCTGCTGGCTCCTTCTGAGACCTCACTGAGCTCCAGAGTCATCAGCTGGAATTCTCTGAGTTGTGTGAGGCATTTATGGCTGTCAGAAGCCCTGTTCCCTTCTGTCCCTGTAAGGGATCCAAGGCCAGGACAGTTGAGTCCAGCTCTGAGCTGACCATACCCTCTGGGGCCTGACATGGGCTGGAGGCAGCGAGGATGGGCAGTGTACCCCAGTGCCCCAGCTTTCCCCCGTGTCCCACCTGGCAGCTCCTGACCAGAATAGGTGCACACTGTGCTCCCTGGCTTCCTGGGAAGTGACCTCATCACATGTCAGGCGGCATCTCAGCTCTCCATGGGCCATCAGTGTGCGAGATGTGGGAAGCAAGAGACTGGGGGCCCTTGGGGCAGCCGTAGAGAGCCTTAGAACTTACTGTACCCCACCAAGGAGGCTCCCTAAGCATGCACTCTGCTCCAGGCCCAGCACGCACTGGGGCCCATGGGAGGGCACGGCCACCCACCCATCCTGCTCCTAAACCGCAGCTACAGCATTTCTGGAGAGCAGTTCAGAAACAGCCCGAGTTGGCCTGAAGGTCACAGACAGTGTGATGTGACTGTGCAGGGTGTGTGAACATGTGTTTATCCCAGTGCTGCAAGTTACAGGGGGCTGGGAACCCAGGATCACAGTGGACGCACCATCAGTCCCAGGAGTCCAGCTGGTCCTCCTGACCTGCTTCACAGCCACCACCAGAGAGCTGTCCTGAAACCAGCAGGACCCAGAAAGGGCAGGTGCCTGGGCTGCGAAGCAAGACCCTGGGAGGGGCAGGTGAGGGTCCCTCAGGGGCCGACAGGGCCACGCTGAGCTGCCTCAGGCTCGTCACTTGGCACACAGGATGCCTGCTGTGGTGCAAAGGCTCCTGAGTCCCAAGGTGGATGGCACTTCTGCGGCATGTGTCACTCAATGAGAGCAAGAAACTGCAGCTGCCCAGGGTGGACCCACTGACCAGCAGTGTGACTCCAGGGTGCTGAAGGCAGGTGTCCCAAGGCACGTGCACCCACATGCCCGGAGGCCCTGCCAAGTCTGCAGGGCTGAGGGCCCACCAAAGGCTTCCTGTGCCCTGTGGCCATGGTGATGGGTCTCAGCTTGCCAAGCAGTGAGGTGCTCCCTGTGCCCCTGCCCAGGCCCCACGCAGGGCTGCGAGGCCTCTGCCGGCTCGCCTTTGCCTCCTTCAGCTCTGCGGCCCTCATGTCTTCCCCAGAATAGATCTGCAGACTCAAGCATGGGGACAGCGATGAGAGAGAGCCCCTAACTCCGGCAGAGTGCCTCCCACATGCCTGCTGCTGGGCACAGGGAGGAGGCAGGCAGACAGGAGCTTGCAAACCCTTTAGGCCCAGTCCTCCGCGTCCACTGCCAGGAACCATTTCCAACCTCCACTCTGCTGTTCACGTGGCAGACAGGCAAGATGTGGTCGTGCATCCCAATTCCCGGCACAGAAATATGGGCTGGAGTTCCTGGTCCGTGGACAGACATCGGGACTGGCCGGAGGCAGCCGCGCCTCTAGGATCGTGGGCTCTGCCCCTCGCCCTCCTGCCCGCAGCTCTGCCTGACCCCACAGCCTTGGCCTGACCCTGCTCTGGACGAGGTGAGCACGCTGGGAAGCCGAGGGTGGGAACCCCGAAGCCGCAGCAGGCCGCCCGCCCCCGCTGCCCGCCTTGGCGATTTCCACCTGTCCTCCTCTGTCTGGTTCTCTGGGGTCTCACTGTCGTATGAAGCCAAGTAAAGGCTTGACAGAAAGGACGTGAAATTACCCAAGATGGGTGATGACAGCGACCTGTTGCATCCTGACCTGGCCGCCTTCTGCAGATTCACAGAGTTGTAGAAAGGACGCAGGGAGCGACCAGGGACCTCTGGCCTCACGCCCCCTGGTGGTAACCACCTGCGAGGCTACAGAGGGGCACGCGCGTGCACGCAGCAGAAGCTGCGCTTTGGATTTTGAAAGTGGATCTTCTCCCGGCCTGGTGACGTGGGTAGGATCCGCCTCACCACGCTGGACAGCGGCAGCGAGCGCAGCGCTCAGCAAAGGCCCCTCATGCTGGCGTGCCTGCCGGCTGAACTCCTGGTCTGGTCTCCATTTATGCAGTTTGCCTCTGTCTCCTGTCTGTCTCTGTCTTTCATCTGTTTATCTCTCACCTATCTATCATCCACCCACCTATCTATACGCTATCTATGTGTTGAGAAAGAGTCCATTAAATCGCTAAATTGCCCAGGCTGGGCTCCAAAGTGTGCTCCTCCTGCCTCAGCCTCCCAGAGTGCTGGGATTACAGGCATCGCCAGCACGCCTGGCTCCTTCGGTCATTTTAAGAATGTCTATAAAGGGATCCGTGTGGTATGCCGCTTTGGGGCCTGGCTTCTTCACTCCGTGGAGCATCCTGGACACTGGAGCATGCTGTCGGTGTGTGAGCAGTGGCGTCCTTTCTGTGCGCACGGTGGGTGGCGTGGTGCGCCACAGGCAGTTTAACCACTCGTTCACACGCTGGAGGACATCTGGCTGCTTCTAGTTTCTGGCTATGGAGAGTTAAGTGGCTGCAAACATCAAAGAAGACGTTTTTCTGTTTTCTGAAGATGACTATTCATTTGTCTAGAATAAATAAAAGGCCAAGAGTGCAATCACTAGGTCATATAACAGCTACATGTTTTATTTTAAAAGAACAACCTTTGGCTCTATACCTATGCTTGCCCATGTGATGGATCACATCCTAGAAAACCTGCGTGAAGTCGTCATTGCCACCGAAGGGCATTCACCACCTAAGCCCTGACTCTCACAGCCGCAGCACACACTAGACCACAGCCCTGGTCCTTCCTCCCCTGACAGGGCTGACAGGGGCTTCGGCTGGGCACAGCTGCCCTGCACTGGGAGATGCCGAGGACAGATCCACACGCACAGTGCAAGCTGCAGCTGCCGGTGCACGGTGTTCTCCCATCGCTCACACCCACCGGCCCCAAGCGAGGTGTTAGAAGGTGGAGCAGTCTGTATCTTGAAGAGCTTCTCCTGGTCCCCCCAACACACACCAGCCACTGCAGTTTCAGCACTTTATATTTAGGTCTGTGAACCATTTTGAGTTAGCATTGTTTTGTGGAGGGCATCAAACTTACACTAGGCTTCTTTTAAATTTGTGATGTCATACATGTTCCAGTATCTTGTGGAAAGGCTTTCTTGCCTCAAATGAATTGTTTTTGCTTATGTTTTTGGTACCAGGAATTGAACTCAAGACCTTGTGCTTGCCAGGCAGGCATTGTGCCTCTGAGCTATGTCCCTGGCCCTGCATTTTTATTAAAAGCTATCAGGCACATGTCTATGGGTCTGCTTATGAGTTTTCTATTTTGTTCTGCCAATCTATTACCACACGGTCTTGATTACTAAGGCTACAGAATGTCAGCTTTAGAATAGGGAGATTGATTTCTCTCATTTTGTCTGTTTTTTTTTTTTTTTTCAGAATTGTTTTAACTATTCTAGTTCCTTTGCCTTTCCCTACAGACGTTGGGATAGTCTTGCTTGTATCTTGCAAAAGATCTTCCGAGGATTTGGATTGAACTCTCATAAAACTACTGGAATTTGGGAAGGGGAGGTGACATCTTTGTCATGTTGTCTTCTAATTCATGAATGTTATAGATCTTCATTTGTTCTTTGGTCTCAGCAGTGTATGGTTTTTTAAATATCCAAATCTTATACACGTGTCGAAGGATTTGCACCTAAAATTTCATCTTTTGAGTGATTGGAAATGGCATCAAACATACATTTTTTTTTCTAGTACTGGATTGAACTGAGTGAGAGTTTGCACTGAGCTATGTCCTTCTCAGGTTTTGGTTTTTGTCTTTGTCTTTTTAAACAGGGTCTTGCTAAATCACAAAGTTGCCCCGGCTGGGCTCCACTTGAGATTATCTTGTCTTAGTCTCTCAGAGTGCTGGTATTAGAGGTGTAAGCCACCAGGCCTGGCTAAATGGCATAATGCTTTTAAAATTTGGTATCCATGTATTTATTGCTAGAACATAGCGGTACAGTCACTTGCGGTATGCTTATCTTTCATTCTATGGCCTTGTTAAACTCATCTCACATCTTAGTTCTAGAAGCTTTTGTAAATTCCTTGGGATTTTCTTACCTCATCACCGGCAAGTAGAGACAGTGTGAAGTTTCTTCATTTGCGACCTTTGCTGTCCCCTTTTTCTTGCCTTATTGTATTAACTAGATGCTGCGTCACTACAGAAACCAAGAGCGGGGTAGACAGCCATTTGCACCTTGCTCTCCCTCCGTAGGAAAGCGCTTAGTGTTCCACATAGGGATAAACTTGTGTTCGGGCTCCCAGATTTGTGGTGGTTTACGTTAGCACCAAAAGGACTGGGGGATGGGTGCCACCTTGATCCTTGGTCTGGCTTTCTATTATCTCAGTTGCCTCTGGTCAGCAACAATCTGAAGATGTTAAATGGAAAAATTTCAGAACGGAGCAATCCATGAGTTTTCAAATGTGTGCCGCTGTGCGTAGCGCAGTGAGGCCTGGGGCAGCCCTGGGTGTGAGGGTCCCTCTGTGCCATGCCCATGCCATGGACACTACCAGCCTGTGGGCCACTCACTGAGCAGCCTTCCTGGCTATCAGATCCACTGTCACACAACCACAGGCCCAGGTCTTTAATAATGAGGAAACTTATTTACTTAATAATGACCCTAAATCACAGCCCTGGGGATGGTATGATTTGGATTCTTACCATGATGCCATAGGAAGGAAAACAGTCCTACACTGAAGTTGCTAAGATCTACGATAGGAATGACTCTTCTATGTGAAATTGTGAGGAAGGAGAAAAGATAACTGTATGTTCAAACTGCAAATATCGTGACCATAGTTAGGAAAGAAGAGGCACCACAGCTGTGTGTGTGCAGGAAGAACAGCACTCCATGCTTTCTGTACTCCCTGTCTCTGCGGGGGTTCTGGCAATGTGCCTGTGGCTATAGTCTGCTGTGTGCCTGCTGTGGCTCTACCTGCCCAGCTCAGTACCTGTCACCTGGCCTGGGAGTGGCTTCTCTCACTGTCCTGAGGACAGGTGCAGCAATGGGACTGCCCAGGTTACAGCCTGGGCAGTGAGCTTACTGGATTTTCCTATCAGCTGCTGTTTGGGGGTGGTGGTACAGCTATGGGGTAAACCCTTTCCAGAAAGTTCCTGACTCTAAATGTGAAAAGTAAAATGGCAAAGTTGAAAGTAATCAAAGGCAAAATCAAGAAGAAATACTTCTCCTAATTTTGGGGGTGCAGCAAGTGTTCCCTCTATGGCATGCACTACCCTGTGTGCTGAGGACCAAGGGGTCCCATGGGCTGGGCAGGGGCATCCGCTGGTGAGTGCATCCAAGCACTGGCCCCTGAGCTCTTGGAGTCATCACCATCTGACTGCTTGGAGCTCCAGAATGTTCTCTTTCTCAAAGAAGGGTTCAGGGGTCTGTATGGAGCCAGTGAAGCTGGAAATTGATCACATGTGCAGAAGCAAGGAAAGGCAGGTCCAGAACAAAGAGCTCCTGAGGCAAGCCAAGTAATCAATCAGTTGCTAGGCAAAAAGGATGTCATGTGACATCAAACTACCAAATGTATAAATAATTGTGCTCCTACCCTTGCATGTGCAGAGAGCATTCCACCTGACCTCAGCTTTCTGTCCCTTATCTTTTTCTCCGTCCTCTTGCCATCCTTCACCTGGGGAACTTGGTGAACTGTGTTGGATGTGGCCTGCTGGTGCCTGAACACCGGACTGGAGTAAGAAGAAGCAGTGGTGGGGAGACAGTTCTTACTGTGCACACAGTAGGGGGAGAAGTGGATAGATAGTGTCAGTATTCATCACAGGGGAGTATGGATATTGACATCATCAGGAATAAAACTTGGGGCAAAGAAAGAAACAGGTTCACGAGGGCCAGAGAGATCAGTGAACTCATGAGACACAAAAGGGAGAGAGGTTATCATGTATTGGGGGCCAGGGAGATGGCTCAGTAGAATAAGTGTTTGCCTGGCAAGCACAAGGGCCTGAGTTCAATCCCGGGGGAGGGGGGGACAGTCTCAAGAAACACAGATGTACATGGAATTGTTTGTTGTATTCTTAATCCCTATATTTACTCTCCTTTTGTGGATTTTGATTAGAGGAGGTCTTACAACCACAAAAGATTTGACTTGGAGCGCTATTTTAAAATCAAGTCTTGAGCAAGAAAAGGAGGGCAGGGCAACAGCAACCTTGATGGAGCGTAAGCCCTCTAGCTCTGCTCAGTCACGCAAGGAATGGGTGGTGGGGAGCAAAGAGGATCCTTCCTGAGGGAGGGAGTGTGTCACTGTGGATTCCATTTTACTACTCCCAATAACTTTAATGGAGCCACAGGTGGTAGTCCCTGCTTCTTCAGCTCAGAGAAATTTTGCTAAGTCACAGGTTGGAACTTTTCAGGGAGTAGAGCGTTTTCTCTCTCTCCCTCTTGCAACTGGTGCTTAAAGAAGCCAGATGGGCAGAGGAGTCCATGGAGGGTTTTTAACATAACTACCATGTTATTAAAGTTCAAGTTCCCAATAATCTGGGACAAGTTATACATCTTCATGAAGCTGTAGCCTTTAAGACCTTAACAGAATTAAAACAAGCTACTGCAATGTATGGCCCTGTGGCCCTTTTTACCTTAGGTTTAGTAGAACCTGTAGGACAACAGATAATGGCCCCAAATGATTGGAAGGAATAACTAAAGCTCGTTTAGGTCCAAGTGGTTATTTATTTATTTATTTATTTATTTACTGTAGCTGGCTCAGCTCACCCTGGGGGTGGGGTTGGCACAGCATGTGGTGCCAGGGATAGAACCAGGGTCCCTGAGCACTTGCCTAAGCAGGCACTTTAGAACCCTGAGCTATCTTGCCAGCCCCCAAGTAGTTCTTTATTGTAGAACAGAAATTGTTTTGATTTGTGCATGGACCAGGATGCCTGTGCAGCTGGCGCAGTGCAGCGAAGCACTGAGGGAGGGAGGGAGGGAGGGAGGGAGCAAGGGCCAAGTGCAGAGTGAGCTCCACACGCAGGGCCCAGGCAGGCGAGTCGGGATGCCTGTTCTGCCCCACCCCTGCACGCCCAGCCACAACCACGAATGTGTGCCACCAGCCGGGGGTCCAAGTGCCCAGGGCGGGGAAGGCAGGACACAGCCCCAGCACACTCAAGCTACCCTGGCTCCCCCAGTGCCCCCACACACACTTCATGCACCACAGCATCCACAGCAGTGGTGGCCACCGCAGGGCTCCAGGCAGAAGCTGGGGCAGCACGCCCTGCTGAGGCTTGGGTGGCGGCTGCAGGGCTGCTGCTCCAGGCTGGGCCCCTGGCTTCCACCTGCACTTGGACCCCAGCAACAGCAAGCCTCCAGCAGCCAGGGAGGGGCCCACAACCACCCACATCAGAGGAGGGAAATCTAGGATGAAAAGTGGTGGCTGTGGCTGCAGAGGCGGTGGCTGCCATGTCCCCTGGGGAGAAGGACAAGGGTCTATCCTAGGCAACAAGGCAGGCACTGACCCACTTCTGGTCCCTGCCACCAAAGCATTGATGCGGAAGGGTGAGGCCATGGGGAAACAGTCCTCCCCTCAGAGGACAGCTCAGGCTGTGGATGGGGGCCGCACCTGAACACAAAATGCACGATACAGCTTTTTTTCTGCACTTAAGACTGACAATGGCCCAGCATACAAAGTGTTGCTTTCCAAATGTTTTGTAAAACTTTTCATATTTCCCTGAGCACCGAAATTCCTTATAACCCTCAAGGCCAAGGAATTGTTGAATGTGTTCACCATACACTCAAAATTCAATGACAAAAACAGAGAGAATCCTTCCCTACCAAATTCACACCTCATAATAGACTTCACTTGGCAGTATATACTACCAACTTTCAAAATCCTACTATGGATGGGACTACAACAGCAGAAAGACAACTTGGTCAGGTAAAAGAAACAAAAGTTAAGAAGAGTCCTTTGGAAAGATCTCCACAGTGGATGATGGAAGGAACCCAACCCAGTGCTCGCATGGGATCAAAGGCATGCTTGTGTCTTTCCGGAAAATGCTGAATGGGCTCTTGGGGTGCCAGAGCATGCTCTCCAGGGGCATCATGAGCCAGAAGCAATTGTTTTATTTTTATTAGTACATGCTTGCGGTGTATAAAGATTACATTATTGTGAGGAGTTGGCCCATGTACATCACACACCTTAATTCTTTCTTCATCCTCTCTCTCTCCTTCCATGCCCTGGCCTCTCTATTTGCAAAAGCTCTAGCTCCACTTTTTCTTTCAATTCTTTTTTAATTCTTTTCCCCTCCCTGCTCTCTGCCTTTTCTCCATCTCTTGTTCCTCTTCCCATTTTTGAAAAATAGACGACAGATAACAGGAGTAGGAAGATCAGGTGAGAGGGAATTTTTAAAAGGTAGGATTTTGACCCCTGTTCAGTTGAATCCATGGATGTGGAAGCCCTGGCACCGAAGAAAGCTGTGGATATGCTGAATCATGAGCAGCACGCCAGGTGGAGGAAGGATTTGCAGAGCAGCACAGCCCAGGCTGGCGGGAACCCTGCTCACTGGTGCCTCCATCTGCCCTGCCAGCCAGTCTGGCCTGGAAGTCAGATGCCAGGTGAGGGCCTTGAGGTCTTACCTTACTTTTGCTCTGGGCTCTGAGGACAATTCAAGAAGGGAGGGCAATAGACAGGGGCTCCCACATCTGCTGAGTGTCAGGGTCACCTACAGAGTATGAGGCCATCCCCCCAAGCTCCTGCAGTCAGGCTCTCCTCAGGGACACAGCAGCCCAGGACACCTGTTGGCTCTTGGCAGAAGCTTGCCCAGGCCTGTCCCATAGAGCCTGGGCTGCACAGGCCATGGTGGCCCTCCTAACCTTTCTGTGTAGCCAGAGTTGTGGTTTACACAGGGGCAGCCTGAGGTACAGACAGAGCCAGTGACCAACCCAGGACTCACAGCCCGGGTGGTGGAGGTCACCCTGCAGAGGAGAGAGCCCAGGCAAGGCTGGCTTTCCAGTGGGAGAAGAGTCCTTTCCTTCCTGCAGACTGCAGCGCACCCTGCTGCTGCATGGCGTGGGTCTCCTGCTTCCACTGCCCAGCATCTCCTGTGCCTGCCAGCCACTCCAACACACAAGTGTGTGTGTGGGCCCATACTGAGGCTGGGACACAGCAGAACAGCCTGGCCTTGCTCCCGAGGAGCGTCTCCCGAGGGGCGCTGGCGCTGCGGCCTAGTGAGTGAGACGCAGGCTGCTGCTCTGTGGAGCCCTTACAGGTGGGCTCTCCTTGCCTGAGAGGTCCTGAGACCCTGAAGGCGGGGACTTTCAGACAATGGCAATGTCTGTGGGAAGCAGAAAGCTTTTTCCCTTCTGACTCTGGCCTCTAGCTCACAAAACCCTCCTGCTGCTGTGGGCTCTCCTCAGGGGCCGCCCTGACACCTACGCACCGTGAGCTTGTGTATCACAGCACTTCGCCAGATGTCACCCTGGGTTTACAGGATTGTCTTCCTCACCAGCCTAGTGCTCCTTAAGGGTCAAAATACTTTTGCTGGGCCCAAGGCTCAGCACGGAGCGTACATCTGACATGAGCGTGAGCCTCAGTTTCTCCCTCTGGCAGATGGGATGGAGGGGCATCATGATAATGCCTCCTGAAAACTGCACTCTGCCTCAGGGTCCCCCATTAGTCTCTCTAGGGCCAATGGTCCTGCCTTGGGAACCTGTCTTGGCTTGTCTAACTTGGAGCCAGGCCCTCACGGGAGGCCCCCAGGTCCTGCCTCAAAGTTGACATGTCCATTGGGAAAGCGGTTGGCACAGCCTTGTTCAGGAAGTAGATGTCTTTGATGAGCAGGCTGAAGGAAGGAATGATAATCCAGAGGGAAGACAAGGCAGGTCAGCCCTCAGCTGGCCTCTCGCAGGGATGACTTAGGGTGGGAAGCCGCCTGGCCAGCAGATACTTGTCCCAGGAACGTCAGCCTCCATCCCTAGATGCAGAGGGCAGGATGCGTCCCGGGCAGCCTGGCTGGCTCTGGGGCTTCGCGGCTCCTAAGCCTGTGTGAGTCAGCTTCCCAACATAGTGAAAAAGAATCTGCGATTAACGATGATAGGGATGCGTTACTCGGCTCATGGGCTGCGGGTCCACAGACCTCGGGCCTGTGGTGAGGCAGGGAACCACGTGGGAGCATGTGGTGGGGCAAGGCGCTTGGCTCGTGGCAGCTGGGAAGGGGAGAGAGGAGGGGCAGAGAGACAGAGATCCCCGTGTCCCCTTCAAGAGCTCACTCTTGGGCTTGAAAATGCTCAAGAGTGACGAGCAGCAAAACAGCATCTTTGGGACACAGAAGCCAGAAAGCTGGAAAAGAGCGATGTGGCGAAAGGGGAAAAGAGAAGAAGTGGACTTCTGGGAACAGGGAAGGAGTCGACAGGAAAACTAGAAACTATGGAGAAGCTGGGAGATGGAGCACAGTGCGGAGAGAAGAATGAAGTGGTCCGAAGCCCACCTGAGCGCCCAGGGAGCTACACCTGACTTTGCTAATACAAGGTACACACCAGGGTCAGCAACTCCAGGGAGAAACTTGGGGGGCAGCAGTGCTGGTCCAAGAAAGTCCTGCCTCCCGTAAGCTGCAAGGAGCGTGGGGTGCTGCTCTGAAAGCGAGCCTTCTGCACAGCAGGTTCCAGTTGGGAAAGAAATCCCGCATGGTGCTCACGAGGTGCACTTAGTCAGAAGCCGCCTGGGGAAGGAGCTCATTGTTTAAGCCCCAAACAACAAAACCACCACACTGTTGGCTTGCCAGTGTTGTGCTCACACAGGGACTAGGTAAGAGACAGCCATGAGACAGTTATGGAGGGGCGCAGGCAACATGCCAGACCCCCTGAGAAGGCTAAACTCAGGCTGGGAAGGACACAGGGCCCTGTCCTCTGTGATGAGGAGCCAGGCCTGGCATGTGCGCCTTCAGGCCGCTGAACGTGAAAGTGCTGGCCTGCAGCCCTGTGCCCGCGTGAACCCCTGCCTGCTGCAGACCAGCTGGCTGACGGCTTTCCTCACCTGCTAATGTTGAACAAGGACACGCCTTGGCCCAGACAGTAGCCCCAGCCTGGGGCCAGCGGGGCCTCTGGAGCAGGGGTCACCGCACAAGCACACAGGCAGTCCAGGTCGGTGGGCAAAGCAGGGCCTGCCGAGTTCCCAGACGCTGGGTCTTGGAAAGAAGCCACTCATCCAAAAATACGGAAAGTACAAATTCCGCCTCTTTTTCCTTCATTTTTTTCTTTCCTTTCTTTATTGGTGTTTAATTCTTATTCTTCACTTTTTTCTTATTTGTTCTCTCCTGTCACCTTTATCTAATTTTACTGTTTTTTAAACTTCTTAATAGAATCCTTTAACTCATTTTTTTGCTCCTTTTCATCTTTCACTTTGTAATTTGTCTATTTTTTCTTTTATTTTCCCATTCTCTATTGTTTCCACCTTTACTGCAATAAGTGACAAAACCCCAAAAGAAATTATGCTATTATTTATATATATAAGTAAAATATATATAATATATAATATACAATATAATAGATAATATATATTTAATAGGGTCATAGAGGAAATCAATCATTAGAAAGTGTCTAGAATCAAACAATACAGTCAGTACATCATACCAGAGCTTAAGAGGCTCAACATAAGTAATCTTTTTTTTTTTTTTTTTTTTTGGCAGAACCGGGGATTGAACTCAGGCCCTTGAGCTTGACCGGCAAGCGCTTATTCCACTGAGCCGTCTCCCCGGCCCCAACATGAGCAATCTTAAGAGGGCAGTTTGTAGCTGTGAATGCTCACCACAGGAAAACAGAGTGAACCCAAATAATTAAACTAGAGATGCATCTAAATGTCCTAGAAAAACAAGAACAATCCAAATCCAAAGCTAGTACATGGCAAAAATGATAAAAATAAGAGCAGAAATTAGCAAAATTGAGACCAAGAAAACAACACAAAGATCAATCAATCAAAGAATTGGTTCTTTAAATGAACAAGCAAAATAGAAAATCCTGAGCCGATCTTTCGCGGGTGGGGTGCAGCCAATATCAACTCGATTAGAATGAAAAAGGCAAAATCACCACACCAAGATCCAGAAGACTGTTAGCAACCACTTTGAAAACCTGTGCTCCACTAAGTTGGAGAATCCAGGAGAAAGCAATTTCTAATAAATATGAATTACCAAAATAGAACCTGCAGATATAAAAGCTCTGTATACCAAAACAAGCAATGAAATTGAGCCAATAATTAAAAATCCCCTAACAATTAAGAAAAGTCCAGGACCCAAAGGATTCACTGTCGAATTCTGCAAGGAGGTCAGGGAAGATCTGAGGCCAACACTCCTCAAACTCCGCAACGTAAGTGAAGAGGAAGCAGTGTTTCCAAATTCATGCCTGGATTACAGCATTGAACTCATTCCAAAATCAAACAAGGCCCAGCCATGAAAGAGAACCAATCTCCAGACACCTTTCAGAAGAAAAAGTAAAAATATATGAAAAAATGGTCAACACCACTGGCAATGGGAGTAATGCAAATTATTTATTTATTTATCTTTCTGTATTTTAGGACAGGGTCTACAGGGTCTCACTACATAGGTCAGACTTGTAGTGATCCTCTTGTTTTCAGCCTCCCAACTGCTGGGATTACAGGCATGCTACCATGCCCAGTCTCAATCACCTTCTCAGCACACCCCGTGGGCAGGGCTGGCACAGCAGGCCCGGGGATCGAATCCTGGCCACTGCACTCTGCCTAAGCAGGTGCTTTAGTCCACTGAGCTATCAGGCCAGTCTGAGAAATGCTAATTAAAACAACACTGATATTCTACTTCACTCCAGAAAGAATGGCTATCATCAAAAACCCAAACACATATGCTGGTGAGGCTGCAGGGGAAAAGGAATCCTTTAACTCGGGAAGGGATGTAAACTACTACATCCCTATGAGACTCAGTATGGAGATTCCTCAAGCAATCAGGACTGGAGGTTCCCTTTGACCCAGTTACTCCCATTCTGGGTGTCTTTCTGCAGGCATCATGCTACAGCGACACATTCACACTGTGTTTACGGCAGCTCTGTTCATGATAGTTAAACCCTGGAAGCGGCCCATGTGTCCATCAGGGAAATTAATAAAGAACATGTAGCAGGTTTATGTAGAGTACTGTCTTGGTTTCTTTATTATTATTATTATTATGTTTTGTATTTTAGGGAAGGGTGTATAGGGTGTTCAGGGTCTCAGTACTAGATCAAACTCCTAGTGATCCGCCTGTTTGCAGCCTCCCAAGAGCTGGGATCACAGGTGCATGCCACCATGCCCAGTCTCAATTGCCAGCTCAGCGTGACCCAGGGGCAGGGCTGACATGGCAGGCCTGGGGATTGAACCCCTGGCACCTGCACCTACTTGCAGGTGCTTTAATGCGCTGAGCTATTTGGCCGGCGGGCGGGCGGGCGGGCTGTCTGTCTGTCTTTGTTTGTTTGTTTGTTTGTTTCTTGCTGGCTGGCTGGCTGGCTGGCTGGCTGGCTGGCTGGCTGGCTGGCTGGCTGGCTGGCTGGCTGGCTGCCTGCCTGCCTGCCTGCCTGCCTGCCTGCCTGCCTGCCTGCCTGCCTGCCTGCCTTCCTTCCTTCCTTCCTTCCTTCCTTCCTTCCTTCCTTCCATTTTATGTATTTGGTATAGGGTCTCACTATGCAGCTCAAATTCATAGTGATCCTCCTATTTTTAGCTTCCCCAGTGCTGGGATTACAGCCATGCGCCACCACGCCAAGACTCGGTTGCCAGCTCAGCCTGCCACAGGGGCAGGGCTGGTGTGGCATTCAGAAACCCTGGTCCCTGTGCTTGCCAAAGTAGGTGCTTAGTCTACTGAGCTATCTCACCGGCCCGTCTTGGTTTCTTTTCTCTCATTGCTGAGACAAAATACCTGATACTCAAAATTAAGAAAAGAAAGATTTATTTATATCAGTTAGTGGAAGGTTCAGTCCATAGGCTCCAAGGCAGAGGGCAGCTGTTCATGTGGCAGAAAATAGCAAAACAGCAAGAGCAAAAAGGCAGGAGCAGCAGCAGTGGCTGGGAGCAAGCCTCCCTCCTTTCTTACGCTCTCTTCAGGGTATCTGTGGGTGTAGCATTCACCCCCATAATCCTGGCACTGGATCATGAATTAATCACAAACTCTAGAAGCCACCCCAGTGACTGCATGAGGCTTTGGGGGGACACCAAGACACAAACCCTAACAAGTACTGTCTGCTGTAAATTAGGATAAACTTGAGTCATTTCAAGGAAAATGCATGCACCTTGAGACCACAACGTCAAGTGTACGACATCAGAACACAAGCTGAACTATTGCATGGTTTCTCTTATACCAGAAGCCCAAATATAGAGCGCAAAATAAGCTGGATGATGGGAAATAGCACGACAACAATTTTTGCACAAAGGAAGGGGACCAAGAGACACAGAGAAGGAGAGCAGCAGAGGTAAAGTGGGTGAGGAAGAAGAAGGCTCCATGTTCTGCACGTGCACCAGTGCTCCACCCGGAATGCAACTCTGCACACTGCAGACACGTGCCAAGAAGCATAAAAATTGTCGAGATCATTCCCACCTCTTGTGGGGCCTGCCTCCTAAAGGTGCCAGCACCTCCTATGGCACCCCGGGTGGGAGCCCGAGCCTGACACGACGAATCATAGGAAAGGCTGGCTGTACTGTGAAGGGCAACAAGTGAGCCAGACAGAAAGGAGGCACAGGGCCTACAACTCCGGGGCCAGACTCCTTCCTCCCAGGCCCTAGCAGGCACCAGCTGAATTCTCCCCCTCTTGCTGGGGAACTGGGCAAAGATGCAGAGTTGGCAGAGGCTGGAGCATTTCTCTCCTCAGCTGCCTGGACAAGCAGAGTCCTGGCTGCCTCCCTGC